TATTTAAAATACTAACTTATAGAGCTTTATTAGTTGATTGCAGAAGCTGATCAACAGATAACCTTACACTTCTTATAACTAGAGATTATTTGCTGGTTTAAATAAACTGAATTATTTGCTACTTTAATACCATATTTCGCTTAAGAAACCACTTTAAATAAACTGGATTTATCTTATTTAAGTTTTTAATAATTTACCAAATATTTATTGTTGAGTAATACTTCAGAATGACAAGGAAATACTCCGCTAAAAGCTTGTTCCTTCTGTTATCTAAGCAATCATAGAAAAAAACGCGTAATTCATGTTCCATTTAAATTCCCACAACTTCCACCATAAATGTTCAAAGGATTATTCAGTTTTCAAACACCAATGACCGCCTGAAAGAATAGTGGTTAGTATTGGGGTTGCCACATGATCTTATTATACGACCACGACAACTTGAATCTTACATATGTTGTGAATGACCTTCGGCTTGTATTAGCCAGCTTAAACCCGTGTAAGGTAAGTACTGTTCTTAACGGTGTCTGCAATATAAATCCACACCTCTGAAAAACTTTTATTGGAACGCAATATCGAGCAAAAGTCAGTGTTTCACTGGTCCTATGACTGCTAATCGAGATGGGAGTTTTTTCATTAGACACCAACATTCACTCATACCTCTCCACTCAATCGCACAGTGCCTATAAACCTAGATAGATGACACTGTAGCATAGTGCGCTCTATGTGTAAACTATGATTCCATCTCAATACTCTTATTTGGCGCGAATTGAAAATAACTAATATATTTATTCTTTGATATCTATGTATATCTCATATATTTAATAACAACTAACAGCATCAAAACTGGACAAAAAAGTTCCAAAAAAAATTTCATAAAAATATCACTGAAATCAAGCGGAACTGCTATTAATATTATTTTCTTGATGTATGTACAAAGTATTTATATATTATTATTTTTACAATGTATTTATATATTATACTTTGAGAAAAGACACCTCTCTTAGTAAGAGCATAGGGTGGAGAAACTACTCACTAATAACACCAAAAATAGGCAAAACTTATAGATTTATTCTGAGAGATTGTTGACAAATTCTTTATAACACTATTATAGATGCGCTAATGATAAAGATAACGTAGACTTTTGTTCCTTGAAAATATAATCAATTTTGAAATAAAATTCAATATTGAAGCATATTAATTATTATATATATACACTAAAGGTTTCTTAAAAGCTATAACAATTAAAAAATCATTTCTATTTATTTTATAAATATCAAAATATTGTATTAAAAAATATTGTAAATAAAAATATTGTATAAATATCAAAATAAATATTAATTTAAAAAAAATATTGTTAGTAACGATTACAGCCTACTTTTGTCTCTAGTGCATTTGTCTGCCTGCAATAACAATTATTCCAAATCCCTATGTAATATAAATCCATATCCATTTTAATCACCTATTTGGTAACACAAAAGTTCATTGCACTCACGAAAATATATTCGAAAAATAATTCGCATTTTAAAAATTTTTACAATTTTTACCTCGCTTTTTTTTTTTTTTGTGTTGCCACATTTTCACAATTTCATTCAATTTTGCAGCTTACCTTCTTAACGGCATTTAAAATTCCAAAGGGGACGTGGACGTTCGTAGCGCAATGCAGTTCCATGGCAATAATCGAATTTTGCCGCTGAAAAAGCCAATATTTTGCAGTTTTTGGGCATATTTTTTACCTTTTCTGCAATTTATTAAATTTTTTACGGACATAATTCAAGGGAATTGATAGTGTGCCAGTCCTGATATCGATATGAAAAATTTTTTGGAATTTTTTTTTTGCTTTAGTGTGCTGATGAAGCCAGCAAATTTAATATATTTATTAATATATATTCGTGAACAATTTTTTATATTATAAATTAGCAGAAAATTATAAAGCTGTTTTGCATTAAATTGAGATATGATAAAAGCATTATAATTAATACTTCTAATAACTTTCCATACCGCCTCCAATCTGGGTAGAATAGACTTCTATGATAGCACCATCGTTTATATTCATTGTGAATGGGGTAGCTTCATTTTTTAGGCGTTCGCCCATGTAGAAGAATCTATGGTTTTCCGGTATTATTGCCTAGATATGTATACAAGATTTATTATTAAGAAAATGAAATATTTACTGATTGACTTACCATTTTTCTACAATATACTTTAATGATATCGCCGAAAGTGATACATTTGGGTACTTGAATTTTCATTACATAGTTATAGACTCCCAAAACAGTTAAAATAACTGGATCATTCTAAAACAAATATATTAAAATGCAAATATGCATTAATTGGTTTAGTAAATAAATATATACATTTGTGATTAAATACATATTTAATATTAGTGACATACATTAATATATAATAATTTAATATACATAAGAAAGTGGTTAATATCCACTAACAAAGGTTTTTGATAAAATCAATTATTCTACGCTATATATCGCTATATATATTTGGCTTCATTCATCGGGTGTTTAAGTTGAAAGTTTTTAAATAAAAACAAAAACCCCAGCCGGTGAGCCTAGCTGTCAAGTGGCGTAACTATATTTTGTTTGTGTAATCAATGAAAAAATTTAAAACTATAAAAGTGGATATTTGAAGAAGCAAACCATACCGGCATATAGTGCACTAGCATAATAATCAGTATAGCCGATTTTACCAAAAATCGAGGTGAGAATGCGAAACCTAGGAAACTATCAATGAATAAAAGTGCCAGCGAGGAGCCACTATTTCACCATAAAAACAAAACAACGGCGAGACAGAAGTGTGCCAGGCGTACCTGGTTGATCGTTCCGAAATAACTTAATATAAAGGACCAAGTGTAAGTCATCAATACCGTTTTTGCGTTTCTAATAAAATTAAATTAAGCTAATTTATATAGTAATACAGTGCAGATAAAACAATGTTAAATCGAGTGGTATATTCTAGTTAATATCACAAACAATTACATTTTAAATAACATTAAAAAAACAACTATTTCACAATAATAGAAAAAAATTTTTAAAAATAATTCGTATTACAAAAAACATGACTAAAATATGGCCGCGTCGTATTGCCGACATCAATTGGAAGTTTTTTTTCAATATATTTTTTCTAATAGAAACTAATAAACTGATTTGTTCAACTTACCACCAATTCAAGTACCCGTACTTTTTTACCTTCTCGTATTGCTATACCTAGTTTGAATTTTTGTTCAAAATTAATTTTATCCATAGCTTTAGTCACTTTGTCTGTTACGCTTAAAACACCACAAGCACTAAAACCGAGTGTAGTCGAAGCGGGACAATTAAGGAGAGTAATCGATTACTATTTATCGACTAATGAATACATATTTTCATAAATGATCAAGGTTTGTTCGGAAAATAAGTCCATTTCAATTGACATTATGATTGACGTGGAAGACAACATTCACATGCAATGTAACCGCAGCTTAAAGGTATATTCCGTAATTGTAATCTCATCACGTCTTTTCATACTTGTAAGGACCATTATTTTATGAACTTAACAACTATTGTCCAAATCAGTTCCAAATTGGAAGCAAAATTTTTTTGTAACTTCTTTTATAAAATAATTTCGAAAGAAAAAATAGAGAAATATATTTTTTATAGGATGTATAAGTCCATGGGGTTTAAAAAATATTCATATTAGACTAATTTTTAAAACGCCACATCTAGAATTATATATATATAAATTAATTGCATTTTAAAAATAATCGTTTGATTATTTTATAAATACTTGAAACAATTAAAATTGTTATTATTGTTTTTTAAAAATATACATCAAAAATTTTAATTTTTTCTTTATGAACCAATAATAAAACTTATCAAGTTTTACTTTAGAATAAAAAATTTTAAAATGGCATTATTTTTCGAAGCGATTTTAACAAAATTCATAAAATATCGCTAAATGATATCCTAAAAAATATTCTACGAAGGAATTTTATTTTTTATATTTGTAATTTGAAATTACCATTTAATTTTACTAAAAATCGAAATTTGCAAAATACCATTTTACATTATAGAAGTATTTTGAAAAAAAAATAAACTAATCGCGCATATCACATTCAATGCATGTTTCGAAACCTAAAACTCTGTCGAAATAAATATTTTTATCGCCAGACAAATATTAATTGGCGATAGGGAGGTTCAACAAAAATTTTATGAATTTTATTATAACAAATAGATGGAAATGAGACGATGTTGTGAAATAGAAGTAAATCAATCAAAAAATGTATGTATATATGCACTTAAATACCTAAAAAATAACTTTATGTGCATCTTTTCAATTAACTACTAATTAGTTGTGCCGTAAGAAATCAGTTTATTTTATTATAAAAAACAATGTATTTAATTAACTATACCAAATTAAAAATGAAGAAAAACGTCGTAAAAACCAATTGAATTTTCATCGTAAGCGTAGGAGACATTTCATATCAATTGATACATGCATTGTGTAATTGCATTTTCTTTGTTTCTGTGCGAACTAATCAGGCTGAATTTCTATTTTCATGCTATTTTATTTGTTTATATTCTACTATATCATGACAACTGACTTGTACAGCGTTCTGCCATTTATTTTCTACTTTCATTACATCTACGAGAATTAATTCAGCCTTAACCCTCTATGTACCAATTTTTTTTTTTGAAAAATTTAATGGTTATTGTTGGTTATTCATGTATTTAAAATTTGTAGGCTCCGCAAAATATTAAGTTTCTTATGGTATCATTGTAATAATAACTGACACTATCACAGCAAGTAAATATTACGCTACCTTAAGGCATTCTTCGGCACTGAAAGGTAAGATAAGCTATTTGAGGGAATTGAGTTGATTTGTACAAAATAAATGATTTGTTTATCAAAACAACGTGCTTAAAAAGAAGTTGTTATAAATAAAATGAATATTGTCTTTTACATTTCATATTACCAAAATTGAAATAGAACTAATTAATTATTTATTATTGAAAAAACTGTATAAATTCATGAATAAAGAAGAATAAAGATAACATTATGCAAAAATACATTAATTATCCACAAAAAAGTGTAAATTCACATATCAAAAAATGACACAAATTTCATAACAAAAAGAACAAAATAAATAATTAAATAAAAAAAATAAAAAATAAGTAACAAAAACAAATGCAAATATAAAAGTAATAACAGCAGATAAAAGCAAAACAAAGCCATAAACATCAACAACAGCAATAGCAACATTTTATTTGCATTTTAAGTCCAACATTGCCATACCAATAAGCCAACTCGTTCGTATGAGCTCAAGTACAAGTGCACGCTGTGGTGGGGTGTGGTGTGGGAAAGCAAAAATGAATAAATTCATGCAACAACAATCTTCGTGCATTGCTACGAAAACAGTTTATTTATGCTTCGGTAAGAGAGGAACAACAACTACAAGATCTACTCTATCAACACAGCTAACTTGATTGCAACTTTTTTCGTTTTTTGTTATGTTGACGTAAGCGATGACGTTAATGGTTACGTTTTATGTTAACTGCACAGCACAGCAGCATAGTTGAGCGGCCTTTTAATTACATTTTTAGTGCCTGTGTGGGATTTTCTATTCTTCTCTCCTTGCGAATGATGCAAATCGCATGGGCAGAATGCAATGAAAGAAAGAAAATGAAATATCTACGAAATTTGCATATATAATCTCGACTAAAGTAGGAAAGAAGTTAAAAAGCATTTAGAATATTTTGAGAAAGGAAATACCGGGATAAAATATACGGGAATAACTTAATAATATTCAAAAGTAATATAATTTTCCTTTTCTTAAACTCACGGTTAAACACGATTTTTATAATGAAATTTATATTGAGTTTATGTAAGTGTGATTGTGCTTACTGAGATAAAAAATTATTTTAATATATACTAAATTACGATGAAAATTTTATATAAGAGTTTTTTATGCTAATGTAAATACTTAATTATTCACAAAAGATTAATGCCATGTTTGCCATACAAAATAAAAGGTTTCAGATACTACCTCTTCTAACCGATTTCCACATCTTTTCTAACCCATGTATGTGTATTGCTATCCAATTCAGTTTTCTGCTCTACGAGGCCCCTCGGGATCATTAAACTCACAACTTGGGCTCAAGTTCGCACGATCTTTAAGCTTTATTTGCAACTTTATGCTTTATTTGTTTACACAAAGCGATCGAGAATTTCTAAAGAAAAGTAGGAATTATAAATGATAGGAAAGGACTTTATAATAAATCCAAAAAAATCTTTTCTTATTTCAATCATCAATATTAATTAAAATGTAAAACGAAATTATTAGAATCAACACCAGACGACTATAATTAAAATAAAGATATTATTATTATGATTGCACCCCGATTTAAAAGATCTATTGTGCGCCTACAGGCCCAACTAAAACAATTCTAGACTATTTATAAATCTCGTAATTGCTGTGGACTTAATTTTACCTACTTGATTTTGGACTAAGATACCGCTTCCAAGATGTTTGAGTCTACGTCTTGCTGGGCGGTTGCATAGAATATGTTCTGATGTTTTCTTCTCCTCGTGACAGAGTCAACAGGAATCACTTATATATCAAATAAAGATATATAAACAGTAGTTGTCCATAGCTTTAGTAAAGTAAGCTGCCAAAAATTTTTAACTGTTAATACAATATCTTATCTCCACTTATTTCAACAAACTTTGAAACATTTCAATCCTTAATTCAAAATATATTTTCAAAAATATATGAATGTTTAAATATTAACGATAACGTAATGGTTAAAATAAATATTGGGTTGATAAATAAAAGTTGTACATAAATTTTTATCAAACTGATTTCAAATGCATATTTAAACTACAGTCTCTCGCAACAGTGATTGACGACTATCATTGGAGTCCACGTATATGGAAAAGTAGTCGTAATCAACGATATCAGTTTAGACGTGCCCAGTATACAGAAATGCATTTCTAGCTTTTGCTATTATAGTCAAACTGTGCATTAAGCATAATCTACATTTAAATAATATTCTAGCAAAAAATATTTCTCAGTCAGAACCTTAGTTTAATTCATGATTTTTTCTTATGTGCTTTAATTATTTTAAACCTGCACAATTACAATGTTTAGTTACAAGGTTTATATATATATATATATTTAAAATTATATATAATCAAAAAGAAAAACTAATGAATTATGTATAATTATAAAAGGCAATTCAAATAAAATAATGTTAATCGAATTAATATTAAATGTAATGCTTTGTCGAAATATATATATTAATATATAAGATAAATATATAAGATAACATATAAAATAAGTATATAAACAAACTGATCAGTTTTATACACATTTTTTTTTAATATTTTTCAATGAGAATCTTCCTCTGGTTTATTTAAGATTTATATCTTATATGCAACTCTTATTTTAAAGCTGCATCAATTACAATGTATAGATACAAGCTGTTCAAGCCTAAAAACGTTAAATTATGTAAGTCAATTCTGAATAACAAAATAATATAAATCAATTATTACATTCAATGTAATTCTTCAGAAATACATAAAATAAATTAATAACAAAAAGATCAGTTTAAATAAAACCTAATTCGGAGAGTTGTTTTAATAAAACTGGACATTCGACTTCATAGAATTTGTCACACTTTTTAACTGTTTGTACATACAATTTTTGACAATCGACTACCATATCCTCCAACTTATCTACGAGATTTGAACTAAGTTGATCAGGTAAACCTATAAAGTTTAAATATTAACATTTAATCAATATAATATCAGGACATGTAGAATAATTACCTGCCAGCTTACACAAACTTGTTGAGTTAACACCAGTTAAACCCAAAGGATATCGACGTATATCCCCTATCTTAACAAAGCCTTGATTGATAAAGTCTATGTACTCAACTTTAAATTCATTGCCATATGCACCAATCACCTTAGCCCGATACCACTCTTCTTGAAACAGAGCTAAGCAGTACTCATTTAAACTAAAAGTTAGTTATCAATAAAATTTAGAAATAAATTATATTATAATATTCACTTACACTGGCTTATAGGGCTGTCCACCTTTGTCCATTTTTGTCAAAAACATTTGCATGTTAATAAAAGAAACATAATCTTTGGCAGGAATACAGGCAAAAAGTCCCTCTCTAATGCAACTAGTGTCAATTACACACGCCAGAAAATTAGTACAATTTTCATCTAATTTTTTTATCTCAAAGGGCTGCAAAATATAAATATTTAAGTTTTAATAATTAAAATATATAATTTTTATTTGCTATTAACTTACTGGTTTGAGAACGGGAGCATTAGTGCTATTAGTGTTATTAAATTGACGCTCTTGTTGACTGGCATCATTGTGCCCTCGATTGGTCTGATAGCTAGGGTAGTTTCTTTGTGTACTTTCAGAATAATTTTGTGGATTTTGCTTTTGGTTTTCATTGCTCTGTTGTGGAATTTTGGAATTGGATATATTTCGGCTATCAGGACGTTGCTGTTGTGGCATATCATGTTGAGATTTGCGATTATGCGACTG